TTGTACATCCATATTGGACTTAAATTCAATTTCAGAGCCAAACACAATCACAATGCTTTTAGCAATCACAAAAATCATACCAAGTATTAAAAGCCTTGTCCTCCCACAAAGTCAGTAACAACATTCTAAATATTCTGGTAGATTGGGGCTGCACCTTCCAAAAATTCCAGAAGCTTAGGATGAACGCAAGTTACACAGATAATATCAACAATTTTCACACATATCCCCAAAATCCCCAATGTCTCTGGCTTTTTGCATTTTGATGTCATCACTGACCCAAATCTCCATCTAAGCCCTATCTACAGAACTGAAAACTAATGGACACAAAGCAAATTCACTGTTCAGGTCTGATAAGATGCAGGAACTATTCCCCTCAATATTTTTTTTTTCTTCACCTTTTCACTAGTAATTTTATTGTCAACCAGCCAGACTCCCCGCTACTCCTTCTCGTCCAGCCATAACGAGCACCTCCGTGCCTCGGAGGAGCCGCGCACCTGGCAGAGCCGGGAAACGCTCGAGCAAGGGTTTGGCTTTCGCCGCCCTGGGAGCGATGCTCGGAGAGCGCTCTGGTGCCCTTCCCTTCCCTTCTCTTCCCCTCCTTCCCTCCCGCCGCTCGGTGCGGTGACAGCCTGCGGGACACGGAAGCCCCGGGGCCCGCGGGCAGCCCCGGCCGCGGCCCCGCCTGAGCCGCACGGACGGCGACCCCGCCTCGCTGTTCGAAGGGCGGAGGCAAATAAGCGCTGCGCAATAGAGCGACGGGCCCAACGGCTCCTTAACCGCCACCGAATCAGGGCGCCCAGCGGCAGGGAAGAGGCCCAAGGGGACCCGGCGCCCGCACCCCCCGCCCCGGCGGCGCTCACCTGCGGGCCCGGCACAGGGCCCGGCGCGGGGAGCCGAAGGCCGCACCTAGGCCGACTCCATGGCGCCCTCCCTCCCCTTAGCCGCCACGGCGGAAGTCCCACCCCGCCGCCGCGCAACAAGAGGCGTTGGCCCGCGGCAGGTCATTGTTGGCTCGGGCTGCCACTCAGCCGCCGGGGCGCGACGCGGGGCGGGTCCTTAGCAGGCGAGTGGGCGGGGCGAGGCTCTGCGATTGGCCCCACCCGCGGGGTAGGGGAGGAGCTTCCTCTGGGGCGGGGCGAGCTGCGGCCGCCTCAGGCGGGGCCTGGGCGGTGGCGGCTCACCTGCCCTGCCCTGCCCTGCCCTGCCCTGCCCTGCCCGCCCCCTCCCGTCCCGGGCGCGGTGAAGGGCTCGGCCGTGCCCGCTCTCACGGCTCTCCAGGCCTGGCGGGCAGTGTGGCTTCCTCAGCGCTCCGAGTGCGGTAGAAGCGCGGCCTGGTGCCGCTGGCCCCGGTCAGCCTGAGGGGCAGTAGGGTGAGCGGGCGGGCTGCGGCCTTTCCTTGGTTCGGAGTCTCTGGTAACAGCAGCAGGAGCTTGGGAGGGAGTGCGGGCCGGGGGAGGAACCGAGAGGCGACCTGGCTTCAAAATATCGAACCCGAGCACTGTGCAGGAGAGAAGGGGTTTTGTTCCCCCTCTCTGCTAACTTTAGCCCAATTCTGTGTTTAAAAACCATCAAAACCAACCAGAAAAACACATTTGAGAGATGTAAGTGAAGCACAAGAAGTAAACGGGAGGGGAGGGGGAAGGGGGAATTGGCTATTTCTATAATTAATGTACTTGCTATGTTATTCCATTTACTGCATTTGTATCCTTCAGGTGGTGACAATGTCATATGCTTAAGAGAATTGTGAGTGAAGGTCCTTTTCCTTTAACACATATGCTTTGCTTTAACAAAACAATATTTATGGAAAAAAAAACCCACAGCCTTTCTCTAAAGTTCAATTCTGTACAGAATTCTGTATCTTCCTTTAATTACTTTAATCTTCCTTTACCGTAATCTTCCTTTAATTACTCTTCTCCTTCATGTTTGCAATCATGTTCATTCTGTGAAAGATACAGGATGTTCTATCCACACAGAAAGGAGCTGTAGATTAGAATTACAACTGCCTCACCAGCCACAGTATGAATTTTTATCCTTTGACCAGATTCACAGCAGGTAAAGGAACTTACATGCATTTGAAACATTTTGCCTTTGGTGAACTGGCAGCTAAGCTCCAGAGCTGGTGAGGTGGGACATAAATAGCAAGTGAGCAGACATATCTCAGATCAATTTTGTGTCACTCGGAAGCAAGGATGTAAAAAACAGAGTGATTTTGACAAAAAATTTCCCCCCAGAATATGAAATGCAAGAGTACTTAATGAATTTATGAATTGCTCTTTCCTATAATACTTGCCTACGCATAAATCAGATCTTACTGATTTTATCTTACTTATTGTGGTTTGGCAGCTTCTATCAACCATTTGGATCTGTGCAGCTGTGTCATTTTCTGTGACAGCAGTACCAATGTGTCAGGAGATCTGGGCACTGATGAAAAAGGAAGGGAGTTCAAGAAAACACTCTGGGATTTTAAAAGCAGATATTATGGTTTCTAGCTTATGACACCAATCTTCACTATCAAGAGAGAATGAACAGAAAAGTTCATCTCAATAACTGAAGATAATATCTGGGGTTTTTTTCCCCAGTTTCGCTGTGAGGTTATGTGCAGCGTTGCTCCAAGGTATGGATCTCTCCAACAGCTACATCTGTTATTATTTCAAGGCCAGCTGAGGAGCTAACATCCTTTATGCAAATTAGGAGGTATTCTTTACATATACCTTTTTTTCCCATGGAATGTTGAGAAATTATTCCACAACTTTGTCAATTTTCTGAACCTAGGCTTGGGCTGGTTTTAAATGGTCGTATCTAACACAGGGTGTTCATGTGCTCAAACAGTACGTCTCTCTTCTGCCTGGTACACTGCAGGATTCCCGAGGGGTCTGGATGGCTGCAAAGGAAAGGACTTCACAAAGATGGGTCCCACCGGTTTCGTGGCACTGGAGAACATCACACTTTTATAGCTGGATTGTACTTGCCTACTTTTGAGCAAATCCTTCTACAAATTTGCACCTTCCTGTTAGGCAGTTAATATTTCCGTATTACCTGTTGGGTCATTTTGTTTCCAGTCTTTGAGTTTGCTTAATTCTTTTTCCTTGCCATGTGTATTTCTCTGTACTATCCTGCTGATGCTCTTATGGCACAAAAGAAACAAGCTGTCCTTCTGAGCCAATTATCAAGATTCCTGGAGCAATTCACTTATTATACATGAAGATGTTCAGGGTTTTTTTTCCCCTCCCTTTTTCATCTGTGTGGTCTCCTCCATCTTACTTCTCTTTTACCATCTCCCATCCTTTTTATACTTGTTTTTCAAGCATAAGATTTGTATTCCTTTCTCTCACTTCTAAACTTATTTTCTAATCACCTTTAGTTTATGATTTCAGTCTGTTACTGTAGTGGGTTCTTAAAATACGCACATGCATATACACACATATTTCTTCAAGGTACACCAAAAGTTTTCTGACTTCTGGCTTAACGAGATTATCCGAACACAATAGACATATGTTTGTATGAAAAAGATTAAAAATTGAAGATAGACTGTCCATCTCACAGGATTCACTTCTCTCCTGTTTTCTGGAGAAAGAAATCCACCACAGCTCTTCATTATATAATGTGTACCTCCTTTAGAAACATAGTAACAAGTAAAGCTTGTATCTTTCTCAAAATTCCATGTAGCTAATTCATTAACCCTTGTGATACTGATTGGTCAATTAATCTGCTGATAGGAAACAGGGCATAGCTGTAATTCTAGCAGCATACCTGTATGTGTTAGGAATTTCTAGGGCTGAAGGATGTACTCTTCTAAACAGCAAAGCCAAACTGTTGGCCGAGAGAAGAGCAGACAGAATTAATCCATTTTCTTGGTGTCACTTGATCTTAAATATGACGAGAGGAAGATGGCAGTTTCTTGCAAAAAAACCCCTTAATATTGATTCATCAATTTGGCTTTATTTAACATGGAATACACATTTTTAAAAGGTCATTTTAAGCACATGGGAATAGCACGGCCACCTCTAGGTAATTTTGGCAGGGAAATGCGATTGTGTACCAGCCATGGGACATGGCAGTGTCACTGGGGTGTCATCCTTGTCCCTCAGGTTTGGGCAGTCCGGCGCCGCACCCCTTGGGGTGTCAACGCAGGCTACACCTGCAAAACAGCTTTGAATTGCACCGACAGCAAATCCCCCGCAGCCCGGGGCAGAACCGCTCTGGAACGGCTGCGGAGGCCGGGACGGGGACAGGGTTGGGGACGTTCCCATCCTGATCTCCAACAGCTGGAGAGCAGCCCTGAGGAGAAGGACTTGGGAGCGCTCGTGGATGAGAAGCTCAACATGAGCCGGCAATGTGCCCAGCCCTGGGCTGCATCAAGAGAAGCGTGGCCAGCAGGTCACGGGAGGTGATTCTGCCCCTCTACTTTGCGCTCGTGAGACCCCACCTGGAGCACTGTGTCCAGCTCTGGAGTCCTCAACATGGAAAGTACACAGACCTGTTGGAACGTGTCCAGTGGAGGGCCACCAAGATGATCAGAGGGATGGAGCACCTCTCCTATGAAGACAGACTGAGAGAGCTGGGGTTGTTCAGCCTGGAGAAAAGGCGGCTCTGGGGAGACCTTATAGCAGCCTTCCAATATCTGAAGGGAGCTACAGGAGAGCTGGAGAGGGACTCTTTGTCAGGAAGTGTAGTGACAGGACAAGGGGTAACGGTTTTAAATTGGAAGAGGGGAGATTTAGATTAGATATTAGGAAGAAATTCTTTCCTGTGAGGGTGGTGAAGCACTGGCCCAGGTTGCCCAGAGAAGCTGTGGCTGCCCCATCCCTGGAGGGGTTCAAGGCCAGGCTGGATGGGGCTTTGAGCAACCTGGTCTGGTGGGAGGTGTCCCTGCCCATGGCAGGGGGTTGGAATTCGATCATCTTTAAGGTCCCTTCCAGCTCTAACCATTCTATGATCCCTCCGGCCCCGTTCTCCGCCGGCAGCCTCCCCCCCACAGCTCCCGGCGGCTCCGCGCAGGCGCGTCCCGGTGGCAACGGGCCGGGGCCGCCCCTTCCTGCTCGGTGGCGGCGGGGAGTGGCGGAGCGATGCTGTTGGTGCTGTCGGAGGAGCAGAAGGCCCACCTGGGCTGCCTGCCGCGGGTGGGCGAGGCAGGTCTGGTAGCGGTAGCGGCCCAGAGCCGCCCGGGGAGCGGGGAGGAGGGGGCGGGCGCGGCCGTGGCCCGTACGGGGCCCTGCAGCGAAGTCCCGTCTTCTCGTTTCAGCCGTCGGCGAGCTGGGGCGCCTGGCGGTGGAGCTGCTGCGGCGGGGAGCGGCGCCGCGGGCCTGCGAGGCGGCCGCCAGTAAGAGCCGGGGCGGTGGGACCGGGCGCGGAGGGGAACCG